GAGTCAGCTGGGGTATCCCCTTAAGACAGAGAAGAACCCCAGTCACACCCAAAGATGATGATTTTATACCTGTTTCTTACAAAGAGATACAGAAATTAACAAATGATTGGCTGAAATTGGCAGAAGTTTTGGATCCTCATTATTATTGGGGGAAACTTATCTTCCTGATGACCTATTGGTTACTAGTCAGTTCGGGGGCACCCCTCTCTGATCTTCTGAATTGTATTGTTTCCTAGAACACAGATTGGGGTCACTTCCTCCCATATCTTTATGGCCTCGATACTTGAGACAGGATGTCTGCCTAAAGCCTTTCAATATAACAGAAATAAGGGAAATGTGTGAAGGTTCATGAACATCAGTTTCCTTGTTATCCCTTTGGCTTTCAAATGTAAGAAAATAAAGGTGAGGGAAACTGAGAGCCCTTTTTCATAAGGTTTCAGTCCCCCCTTTTTAAATTCTTAATATTTTAAATCGAGAATTCAGTTATCCCCACCTCTTGAAGAAGGTTTAGTAAGAAAACAAAATAAGCCTAATCTTTAGATATAAAAAGGAGTTTATTGGGAAAAGGGGCTACAGACAAGAAGGAAGACAGCAATCAGATATAGACAGCAGTCCCCCTGCCACTAGAGTAGCCCCAATCCTTTTCTAATTTAGGAATCCATTAATACCTGGCTGTTAACTGCTTAAGTGAGAGGCCCCCCTGCAGACAGTGACTGTTTATGATGCATTAAGATGTTATTATGTACTGTTTTAACCTTTGTTACTAAAGTGGTGTGTTTGGCACTTAGAGTCAGCTGTAACTGAAGTAACCTTCAAGTCTAAGTAAGTAAGTTAGTAAGAAATAAAATATTCACATATTACATACATGTATAAGAAAGATTCTGTGGCTGAATGATAAAGACATTGAGGTTAAGGTGCTAGACTAAAACCAGAGAGATTGTGAGTTCTAATCCACCCTTAGTTCTAATCCTCCCTTATCACAGAAGCCACCTGGACCAGTCAGTCTCTCTCAGCCCTTTAGATTAAGCAAATTTCTGCTAAGGGTGGACTTGAGTGTCATGAAAGTTATGCTGAAGATGTTATTAGATTTTTCCACTTGAAATAACTACAGTGGTACCTCGGTTTACGAACTTAATTCGTTCCGTGACTCTGGTCGCAGCCCGAATTGGTCGCAAGCCGAAGCAAATTTCCTCATAAGGTTCAATGTAATTACCGTTAATCCGTTCTGGC